ACAGCGACAGCGACTTTATTTTATACTATGTAATGATTTCTACCATTTTTAACAACGGTATTAAAAAAGGTTTTTTATTTTAACATTAACATTATTATTTATAGTATTCATATGTATCTTGAGAAAGTACCAAATAAATTAATAAATAAATAAACCTGGACAATTCTTAAACCGCCATCTAATCCTAAAATAATTACAGCTATATGTACTATGAGTACTGTACAACAAATAATTTTTTTAGAAGTAAACAATTAATATTAATAGAAATCCATCCAAACTATTTGAAACAGAGATATTCATAAATGTTCTTTCATACCGTGCGGAGATCGAACCTGCGATAACTAGGGCAGCATATTGTCCGCTAAACTATCGGTCTATCGTCGAAACAATGTGAATAACTAAAATATATTATTATTATTTATGTTACATATTTATTGAAATATTAATTAACTAGCTGTTCCGTTGTATTGCCATATGAATTAATATCGCTATTAAAAAAAAAGAGACCGTTGGTAGACGGGTCAAATATTAAGATATAAAAAAAAACCAAGTAAAATTTATGTCAAAACGATAAAAAAAAATCATTGTTATAATAATACTTTACTTAAAATACTCGTAACTATCGAGTATATAAAAATTCTACAAAATCGGTTAAGCCATTTCGGAGATATCAAAACAGCACTCTGACACGCGAATTTTATATATCTGATATATCGAACAACACATTGAAAAGTGTAAGCAAATGCACTTAGCATTTGCTTACACAAACCCCATTGCAATTATTGGATCCACTTCAAATTTCAGTACATTCGAATTAATCACTCAAATTTGAGTAAGCCATTTACGAATGGATTGACTCTCTCGCACATATGGATAAGTCCCATCTCTCACTCACGGCCTGTTAAATAAGCTCACCTATATGCTGCTATAAGCTTGTTAGCTCTTTGGCCCGTTATTGTAATACTAAAATCCGTTGTAGAAACTTAATTGGGAAACGTTAGAATTAGATTTAGTAAAATTTGACCATTAGATTGTTCCACGTAAGTAGTTTGTTTAAAGCTTTTTATTTTAAATGGATTGTGTTTAAACTATTTTGTAGAATGTTTTGAAATACTGTAGTTTGTAACAATATTTTATAAATATAAGAATAACTGTTAAATATATCATTATTTATTGAAATTTAATACTTAAAAAAACTATTTTTTGATATGAAATATTATTACTAAAAAAATATTAGTAATAATTAATATTATTTCTATTAAAAATGAATAAAGATTTTTAGTAATACTGCAATTTTAATTATAGATTAGAAACAAATTTATTACGCATGTAAAAGACAAAGTTAAGAAAATTTATTAGTTTTTATTATATTGTGATTAATTTATTATTCTAAAATTTCTATTAAAACTACATACATATATTGGTTTCCAGATATTGAAGAAGTCGTGAAGAACTAATTATTAGTTAGGTAAGCTATATATTACAGAGTGGCATATATTGATATTAGGACGCCAAGCAAATGCACAGACTTGATGTGTTAAATAGGAAACCAGTCAATTGCATTCACCATTCAATTGTATGAAACTGCACAATTCCACTACTGCAATAATTGGTACGAGAACCCTATAATTATAATAATAATAATCTCAGGACAATTCACACAGCACCGTCTAGACCCAAGTTAAGCTAGCTAAAGCTTATGTTACTGGTACTAGATAACTGATACAAGTACATAGAATTTTTTTTTCGTAAATCCATTCATATTGTACATAGAAAACACCCAGACCGATACAAACAATCATACTCATGAATACAAATGTTTGTGCCGTGCGAGGAATCGAACCCGCGACCATCGGACGTAAAGCGGTGTGCTAGACTGCTAGACCACCGAGGTCGTCAGCAATGTTGGCAAGGAGGGGATTCATCAATCTTGCAATATAATTTCCTTTCGAATAGTTGTATATTGTACATCTTAAGGACAATTCAGACAGCGCCATCTAGTACCAAAGTAAGCAGAGCTTATATTATATAAAATAGTTCTTTTTTTTGTAAATCCATATATAATATACACAGAATACACCCAGATCAATATGATGCAAATATTTATATAAACGAATATGATTATGCTTAATGAGTATGATTGTTTGTATCGGTTCTAGGTACTTTCTATGTATATTATGTATGTATTTACAAAAAAGTCATCAGTTATCTAGATAATTTGTGAATTTTTTGTAAATACATACAGGCACTAGTACCTACAATACAAGCTCTGCTTACCGTGGGTCTAGATGGCGCTATGTTAATTATCCAGGGTTATTTATTATTTATTATATTTATATTATTATTTAATAATTACTATTTTATTTATTATTATTTTAATTCTGTAATTAATAAGTATGTCGGTAGTAAGTTATTGTAAAGTTAAATTTAAGTTTGAAACATGTACTTCATGTATGCTCGATGGATGTGACTACCGTAATAGTCTCATAGAGAAGGCTCAGAGAGGAGCTAATGTTTATCAATAGACTTTACTGAATGGCTGTAACGGAAGCTTTGAATATGAAATCGAAACCAAACTCCCCTACGTAGCACCGTACACTGACAAAGGTCGGATTTCACCAATCGTAGCATAAACACGTTCAAGGAAACGGAGTTCAGCGAGAACTCGAAAAAAAGAACGACGTTGATCTAGTTTTACTTTAAATGGAATTCACCAACATTATACAGATCGCGTTTACCAAAATGAAGTTTAGATTTTCATTCGTTCACAGTATTACACGCTCATAAAATATTTGAAGCAATGGGTAATTTAAATAAAATAATTCTAAGGAATATTTATAATTCAATCATGTGTTAATTAGGATAAGTGTTTTAATTTTTTATTTAATAAGTACCGTCGACTATAATGTATAAAACAACAACCTTTACCTATAAACTAGTAAAAAAATATTTTATTGAGGATTTTTTTTTATATTACTGGCAATTTTCTTTTTATTCCCGATATTGTATTGTCAAAAATTTGATTGATGACTGTTTGACAACTGACAGCTGCTTTAAATACGTTTAAAGAGTTAACAGTAGGAAATCAGACGTACAGAATTTATAAACGAGCGAAATTTGTAGTGGCGAAATGCAAAATGTAGCTTTGAACACGTTTACACGTTTTAAACCCGTTCAGTTTGAACTAAACGTGATCAGTTTCTTTGGTGAAATCCGACCAAAGTCGTCTAAGTTAACCCGTGACAGGGCGAGCGATAAACAATAACTTGTTGGTCAGTATTACCACAGGGTATAGTCTAAACGCTTTCAATGTAACTTGAAGCGTTGGCTTATTCACAGCTCGGTTGTATAGAAGCGTTTGTAAATCAATCATAGTTGGAATATATCCTTTATTTTGTACTATTTACATTATTAAGTTTATTATATTCTCTTTTTGTTCTTTTATAAATTTAAAGAAAGAAAAATTTAAAGAAGTATACTCACCCACAAGGGCATTAGCGAAGTGTGAGAGAGGTTGTGCTATCTGAAGATATTAATGAGGAAGTCATGAATTTACGAGTTATGCGACAAGTATTTAGTATTGTCGCTTTCTGTAAGAGCTATATTATTATTGTATTGCAAAACTTTATACCTATAGAGTTTGTATGTCTCCCATTGATGGGGTGATAGACTTGTCATTGCGGATGAAAATCACCAAATACTATTATTATTATCATTGTTGTCTCCTTGTCTATGTGTGTGTGTGTGTGAGAGAGAGAGAATGTGTGTATAGTACTTATTGTGATCCTTCTAGTCCCAAGCTAAGAAGAACTTGTGTTATCGATATTAGACAATTGATATAAATACTTGAAAATATTTTGTATACATAGAAAGGAACCAATTCAATACAAACAATCATACTCATAAATACCAACGTTGGTACTGAGCTAGAAATGAAACAGCGATCATCAGAAATAAATCAAATTATTAATACTAAAGTTACATCCGTTATATATTAGCTTTAGTATTCTAATAGCATTGAATATGTTAATTAGCAACCAATCAATGACTGAATATGAAATCCATATAAATATATGTACATATTAATATAAATATATGTACGTATTAATATAAATATATGGACTTAGAACAGACTTTATACGTTAATTGGCAATTGTATAGAATTATGTACAGTTTGTAGTTCTATAAATAAGCGACATCAATATACCTAAGTATTGAGATATTAAACAAACATATATAGCATATATAGGTATATACATATGTTGGTATTTTAAGGGACACTATGCTTACTTTAACCTACTCATATTATAAACGCGAAAGTTTGTGAGTTTGGATGGCGGGATATTTGTTACTCTTTCACGCAAAAACTACTGAACAGATTTTGATGAAACTTTATAGTAATATAGCTTATGCATCATCAGAATAACACATAAGGTACATTTAGCGCTGGCGAAACCCCGGACACATAGTAATACGCTATAATTTAAAAATATATCAAAATAGGGCGAAATATACAAATAAATGTTAAGTATGTGTGATACTGATTTCTTCTTCTTTCTTGATTTAATGTATTTAAAGGATTTTATGCAGACCCGTGGGACTGAGCTCTGGGCCGATTAGGGAAGGACTTGAAACGGCCATCGTAAAATTTACGCAAGCACAGTTATAAGGACTTATAAGTCAACATCATTTGATATAACTACATTAATATATTATACCAAATAAACTAAGCTAATATAAACTTGACAACATACAGAGACCAACTACAGAACTCTGTGTATGATTAAAAAAAAAATTATGCACTCCATCTTTATATAAATTGTAAGTGTGCGGAATTTCATACTCATTCATCTGTTGAATTTTCGTAAAAAGGTTTACAAAGTTTTTGCTACAAGCATTAAAATTATGATGATTAAATTCAAACATAATAATGTGTACGTTGAAAATTAATGTTTCATAAGATAATTAATGATATTCAGTATATATGTAGGATCACGTACCTTCCTAACAATCTCGCCTACTAATTCAGTCGATCCATCCGTAGGGCTCCCACTCATATACTTGTTGTCCTTGACAACTCGGAGCTCGTCTGAGAACAATCAAGTATTATGTAAATTACGGTTTGGAAACGGGAAATCTATACAACATTGTGTCTATAATACATTGAAATATTATATACAAAACTACAGATTAACTTTAAGTGTAATGTATATTTATTCTATGGTATTATATATACAGTCCTGAACTATTGATATAATCTAATATTATTTGTAATACTGTAAATATATTTTAAATGTTTGATATCATTACAATATTCTAACAATTAATCTATGTAAATTTTAATAGTTAATGTTTATTTTCTTTTAATATGTATTAAAAGAAAATAAACATTAACTTTAATAAATGTATTAAAGTGACCTTACTTGAATATATCTTATTTATAACTAATATCTTACTCATATTACAAATGCGAAAGTTCATAAGTATGGATGGACATTTCACTTGTTCACGCAAAAACTACTGAACGGATGTTGATAAAGAACAGTAATATAGCGTATACTTCAGAATAACACATAAGCTATACATTTCATGCGCGTGAAACCGCAGACAAAGCTTGTATTTTACATGAACAACCCGGGGCATAAGTCCCGGGAACATGTCGCAGTTTCCCTCCCTGCCACACGATGGGACCGGCTCCCGCACGGCATCCATGGAATGCCAAAAAGTTCGTCTCTCAGTTTATAACTATATTCCCAGATGGGGATACTGTTCGCTCTGCCTAGCCCTTAATAAATGTGCAAAATAATTTAATTATTCATATTATATATAGTATTTTAATTTATTTTTGAGTATATTTGAAATATATATTATACTAGATGTCTTGGCAAACGTTGTTTTGCCATAAAATAAAAAAAAAAGTGGTGGACTACCCCTAACATTTAGGGGGATGAAAAATAGATGTTGGTCAATTCTCAGACGTACTCAATACGCTCACAAAATTTCATGAGAATCGGTCAAGCCGTTTCGGAGGAGTATGAACAAAAACTGTGACAAGAGAATTTTATATATAAGATTTATACTATATATCTAATATAATTTTTATTGTTACAGTTTTTTGCCATTACTGCACTACAACTCTTTCTATTTCCACGTAAAAGTTAGCTGGTAGAGAATGCCATATGGCTCGCCTTTTATACATGTGATTTCGTAGAACAAATATATAAATATATATATATAAAAAATTACTTACATTTTATACCAATCTTGGTTGTAATTAATTCAGCCAGATCCTTGCAAAATCCATAATATTCATTTTGACCGTATTCCGATTGTTTCTGCATTATGTATGGTTCTTGTAGTATTGTAGTTATAATGTAGGTCTTATTAGTATCATACAAGGTAGGGGGTCGTTGATGAACGTATTTTGGTTGTATGGGAATCAATCCATTCATATCCGTCCATGTTGCTACCTATATTAGGCAAAAAGATCAATGTGAGTAATAACGATCTTTACGTTTAAATATATATAGATGTTTAGTAGTATCTAAATTATTTACACATCCTCTCTCATGCACATACACACAAACACACATACCATTAAATTATCTATAGTAAACTCTCACATACTCCACACCCTGCTAGAAGTTGTATAATTTCACCTCACAAACTGATTTATTAATATTTTTAAACAAGTATTACATAGTAGAATAGGACTACAGGACTGAGCTTTCGATCTAGTTCAGACTGCAGACAAGGAATAACTTGTAAGTTAATTTAAACTAATAATAATATCTCAGGACAATTCACACAGCGCCATCTAGTCCCAAGCTAAACAGAGCTTGTGTTATGGGTACTAGACAACTGATATAAATATATGGATACATTTTTTTTGTAAATAAATACGTATTATACATAGAAAACACCCAGACCGATACAAACAATCATAGTCATGAATACAAATGTTTGTACCGTGCGAGAAATCGAACCCACGGCCATCGGATAGTAAAGCGGTGTGCTAAACCACTAGATCACCGAGGCTATCAAATTTGTAAGATTGTAAGATTTTTTAATTAATTGTTACAAAATACTAAGTGCATTTGTGTAACTCAAATGAAATACGATACGATATATAGTGTAATATTCATTAAGAGCGATAAAATAACATTTTTATTGAATTCTGAATAAAACAAATACACCTTCTAGAAAAACAAAGGTAAAATTTCCGAACTTTCCGTCGCAAGTAGCCACCGGAGAAATAGCACTAAAAGTTAGAATGCATTGATTTATGAACGCTGAAAAATCATTAGTGAGTTGTGAAACAGGAGTGGGGTGAAATAAAGTTGAAATTAACCTTTTGTCGAGAATACTTGCTAACGGATGTGCGAAGTTTACCTTACATTTAATAACATTCTTAAAAAATGGAAAATCTTTGTGGTAAAATTGCTTTCATTCGACGTTTCTAAACACTTTTTTTTATATAGTCAAGTGAGAAATTTATAGGAATTCTGAACGTAACAACTGCCCGAGTAGAAGAAACGTGTTAATCAGCAGTACCTTTATAAAAAAAATAAAAAAATCTTATTTCTGAATTTGGTCAGTTATGTACGCAGAGCAGTACAGAAGCCAAGACCGACTGTCCAAAGTTAGTGAAACTACTGTTGTAATTTGTGCATGCGGAAATTGCTGCCATCTATATATATATATTGTTATTAAACACAAAAAATTACCTAAAACTATTATTTTAACAAATTTTGTAAAGTTAAATATTGTATCACAATAAATAGTTTGTCTCAGTAAAATAGATTTTAAACACGTAAATCTTATAACAAGAATATATTGTTTTTTACCAACATTAAGAATCACTATTAAAAATGGACACGGCTTTGGGAGCAAACGAAAAAGTGTACTCATTTTCATGAAGTGTCGTCATTCTGTCATATGAGGTAATAATAAAAATCTAAATAACTAGCGGTCCTGGCAAACGTTGTATTGCCTTAAAATAAAAAAATTAGGGGTGGACTACCCCTAACATTTAGGGGGATGAATAATAGATGTTGGCCGATTCTCAGACCTACTCAATACGCTCACAAAATTTCATGAGAATCGGTCAAGCCGTTTCGGAGGACTATGGGAACGAAAACTGTGACACGAGAATTTTATATATAAGATATATTATACAAAATTATTAATTATAACCTTCAACATAGCGCTTGCAATGGTCATTTCGACGACTTGCAACGTAAAATTGAACCTATGTCCCTCTTCATTGAATGAAATATTTCCTGTCAGGCCCTCTATATCAGTCTGAAAAAAATACAACATGATTAATTTTTTTTTAATTCTAACACATTAAATCTAAACAAATAACTTATTATTAATTTCTGTTACTGATTTGTGTACAATCTCTTGTAACATATAGTAATTTTAAGAATAATAATAAACTCTTTATTGTGCACATAGAAGAAATACAAGAAGAAAAAAGAATAAATAGAAAATCAAGAACAAATGCGGTCTTATCGGTATAAGCAATTTCTTACAGACAACCTCCAAGATAGAACTAACGTAATTAATTTTAAGTCTAATAGTACAATGTTTTTACCCCATTTCTCTTAAGTTAATCTATAATAATATATTAATTTAAGAGGAATGCACACATATATAATTCGAATGTGATACGCTTATTACCATAGAATACAATTACAGAAAATGCTCTTTTCCCCTTTTTTATATATATTTAAAGAATATTAATTTACCTACTCTATTACATATTATTACTATCTTTTTGTTATTACTATTAATTTTAATAGAATATTAGTAACTACGACACTCTTCTCGATATGTTTACTAAACTATTCTCAACCATAGCCTACGCTAACTTTGTTTTATAGTTTTAGATTTTATTTGACAGAAAATATATTTATTATCTATATAATACATGTATTCAGTCACATGATAATGTGGCGTAGTGCTATTCATGTATGTATGCGCCGGATAGCAGTCCATTATGCTTACACCCATTCAATCTTTACCTACGCATTAACATGACGCCCCTAATGTCTTTGGTATCCTTAGGCTATGGTAACCATTTACCATCAGATAGGCCGTATGCTTATTTGCCACCATAGTAGTATAAAAAAAACCATTCCGAATACAAAATATCGATTTACATTAGTTAATGATTGCAATGATAATGATTATACAAATAAAAAGTTCATTATTAAAAATTATTTTATATTGCATAATGATTTTCATCAAATAAATTAGTTGAAATTATGCAGGCATAACCCCATTTGTTTGCAGTATAATGAGGGTACTTAATAATCAGAATTATTTATTGATGATCGCATGTATTTCAATTAACAAGTTCACGTGCATGAAAATATATCGACTGTATTCAACAAAGCATATAAAGAAATGATATAGTATATAAAAAAATGATCAAATAATATATTTGATCATTTTTTTATATACTAGACTAGCTACTCGTCCCGACTTCGTACGGGTACATGTATTATATAAAGGTTCTTCTTGAATCACTGTAATTATTAAAAAAATCGCTTTAAAATCCGTTGCGTAGTTTTAAAGATTTATGCATACGTAGGGACGGACAGACAGCGACAGCGACTTTGTTTTATAGTTTATTTGATAGAAAAACTATTTATTATCTATATAATAAATGTATTTAGTGACATGATAACGTGATGTAGTGCATGATATACATGCAGACGACGGATATCAGTCCATTATGCTTACACCCATTCAATCTTAACCTACGCAATAACATGACGCTCCTAGTGTCTTTGATGTCTTTAAGCTACGGTAACCATTTACCATCAGGTGGGCCGTATGCTTATTTGCCATCATCATAGTATATAATAAAAATAACACGTAGCCATAAATTTAACATGATTTAAATAAACCTTAAAAAAATTATTATCCTAATGTTTATTACGTATAATTTTGTAACAGAAAAATAAATAAACCTGATACCAATTACTAATTGTGGAACTAACTCCATTATGCTTATACCCATTCAATCTTAACCTACGCAATAACATGACGCCCAGGTGTTTGGTATCCTTAGGCTATGGTAACCATTTACCATCAGGTGGACCGTATACTTATTTGCTATCATCGTAGTATATAAAAAATAACAATATGGTAAAACTCTACGTTTTAAATAATGAATTTAACATGATTTAATTAAATCTTAAAAAAAATAATTAATTTAAATAATGTATGATTTAATTAAACCTTAAAAAACATAATTAATTTTAAATAATGTATGATTTAAATAAACCTTAAAAAAATATTTTAATGTTAATAATCTATTACATATAATTTTGTAACAGAAAAATAAACAAATCTCAAATCTGAACAAACTGTTCAAACCATTAAACTAGTTTCAAAAAATAAGCTTCACCAAAAAAATTCACTTAGTTATATAAAATAGTAATATATTTTTGAGTACCTTCTTGATCAACCTAGATATTTTGTCGCCATGCTCAAAAGGTACTACCCAACTTTTGCCTGGGTTACAATCGATCACTTTCGTCGAGTTGGCTTGTCCTGCGGCCCGTCTTAAAGCATTCCTAAAAGCATCTGGCTTTTTTCTCCACAGTCTTCCCAGAGCGTCCATTAGGACTTGTACACCGTCGTACATAAGAGCGGTTTGAGCCTATACAACAATGTACATAGAACATTTATATATAAACACAGTACAATGCAAAAGTCACTTAAAAAGGTAGTAATTTTAAGTTCAAATTCAAAGTTAACAAATTAATTTCCGTACGTATAATACATGTTATAAGTATATACATACTCGAACTTAATAATAAACATAAAATATACATATATTTTTGTTTTATTTTTATTATAATAATTGCATTTTTGAAGAATCTGTCTAATTTTACTATATTTTTTTATTATAAAGGTATATAATTTAACCTTATGTTTTCTATTTTATTTTAGCGTTACATTTTGTTTAAGAGATTATTATATTTTAAGAGATACAATAAATGCTCATTATATTCCTTGCCTTCTATCTATACATATAAATAAAATTGGAGTGTCTGTTTGTAACATTGAAATAATCGTTTTTTACTACATGCATATGAATTACATACACCAAAATAACATTTTTTATAATTTTTGTCTGTCTGTTTGTTACGGCTAATCTCTGAAATGGCTATACCAATTTGATAACAATAGACAAATTTTGACGGGACTTTTTTTTGGCAGGTAGCTGATGTAATAAGGAGTAACTTAGGCAACTTTTATTTTAGAAAAATATAGTTAATTTCACGCGGACGAAGACGGAGAAATAGCTAGTAATAAATAAAATTGGAATATACCTGACTTTATAAATATTATTGACTTTATTATATTAAAATTAGCTGTAAGTTTATATTGTATTAATTGAATAAATACAATATATAAATTATAATCATTATCGATATATTTGATTAGCTTTTATATAATGGGACTATAAAATCAATTTTAGCTGTATATATATGGAACTGAAATATTTAATAAACATAGCACACAACTTGGCAATTGAAACGAGTATCTTAAAACACTTAATTGGAAATTCTAGAAATGTTCATCTAGAATAGAAAACACATTCTTAGAATTTCGCGCTAAAAGCATTCATTAAGTTTCTTATCGAGTGCATTATTTGACAATTTACGATATACAAGTATTTTTTTATGTCTAAATTTATATATTTGGTAATAATTTTATCATTTCTCAAATTCATATTACGGGAGAATGATATTGGCTTCAGTTTTTTTTTATGACCTGCCTGACTTCAACACTTGGGCTTCTTTCAATGATATGTAATGTGTAGGAATGAAGATAATATCTTAAGGAAGGTGTTACATCTGAATGTGGATGGTTATAAGGGTAGAGGAAGACCGAAAAAGTGAGGATGGACTGTGTGAAAGACGATATCGTACAGACGAGATGAAAGATTACATTGACCTTAAATAAATGGGATAAAGAAGAAGCAGATGATGAAATTCTTACTATTATATTACAAAAATTAATAATTAATATTGTTAAATTACAAAATCTAATTATAATTAACAACAAATACACAATATATACTTAATTATTATAAATGAACACACTATAAAAACGAAACAATACACAAAAAGGACAGTTGATGCTCCTTAAACATGAATTTCATGAAACACTGCAAAATACATTGGCAACAATAACAGTGTACACGAGCAGTGCGATAAATGATTCAGACAATATCTTCACATATATTGTGAACATCACCGTGTTAACAACTGTGATGAGTTAACTGTACTTGGAAACAATTCCACAGAGCACACGCTCGGGAACGAAAAAGGCCTAAGTGTATTTACTCAGCAAAAGGGAGATCATATGGAATAATAATTTATGCAGGCGTGCGGTACCCACGGTTTCATTAGAGTGTACGTGAGTTAGTGAAATCTACATAAACGGGTTATTACTCCACGTCAAAATTTTCTTCGTGAGATGCCAATTTTACCGCCGCGCCCGCCTCTTTATCCCCTGCATTAGGTTGTCGTAAAATTTTACTGATATTACCGCAACATATAAGATTTGTTATTTTTATTCCTAGTGAATGTAGTTGAGCAATATTCTTTTTTGTATGTGTATTGATAATATTGGAGTGATCGCTTGCTTACACATATGCTATACTATGATTATATTACGATGTAAACTGGTGTACCATCGGGAGCAAACCGCTAGATCACCGATGCCGATAGTTCAGTCAGTAGCTTCCTCCCACTTTGTACGGTTAGATAAAAGATAGCATATGGCCGTTTTTGCGATACAACCTATCGATATTGTATCTTATTACTTACTAGCTGTGTCCGCGACATCGTCCGCGTGGAATTTAACTTTATTTTTTTTAAATAAAAGTGCCTAAGTTTTTTTTTATCTCAGCTACCTGCCAAAAAAAAGTCCTGTCAAAATCGGCCCAGCCATTTCAGAGATTAGCCGGAACAGACAGACAGACAGACAAAAATTGTAAAAAATGTAATTTTGGTGTACGTACCGTATTTATATTCATATGCATGTAGTTAAAAACGGTTATTTCAATATTACAGACACTCCAATTTTATTTATATGTTTAAATTTAAATTTATTAAGAGTTAATAATAGAGTCGCGATTACCAGAATGAAGGAACGTGTTATTTTTTTTTAGAAAAAAAAAATCATTCCTCGTACATTTAACCTGTGTGCTTCAAATTTGGTTAAATATATTATGGTGAATAATTCACAAAAACTAATTAATAATTTAATATATATAAAAGATTGGACAGTTAAAAAAATGAAATGAATATGTGTGAAGTCACGCTTAAAAGCTAGTATGCGGATAAATACTTAATGAGTAGAAGACGTTAAACTAATAATTCGGAGAAGTAGCTTAAGCAGTAATAATGCTGCTTTAATGTAATACGATATTAGGTTTCCACTTACAACTTTACTTCGGGCAGATCCAAAGAACTGCCGCTCATAAATACTTAGAATTGTCCTAACTCTCGGTAATAATAAATGGTATAATATAAACCAGTCTGAACTTAACGATAATGCCAATGGAAAAGTTAACCAGAACTTTACAATTACGCCTGAACTCAATTTCACTTATTACTTTATTTTATCAATACAAAAAATACTTCTATTTTATTTTATGTACTTTCTCAATACTAGATATTATACCTCAGTGGACTATTTCAATAAATACCTATGGATAGCATTATAAAATCCTATACGATGTAGATATTTCATCATCCATAACAGATAATTCCTTTATGAAAAAAAATCATGTGATACTGGTAGAGCGTACTGTACCATGGGAAACCAATACATCTAAAGATCATATAATGAAAATAAATAAATATAACAAATTAACTAAAAGTAATTTTTTTGGACTACTCTAATGCTGTTGGCCGCAGCTGGCCGGACGTTAGGGGGCGAGTGCAGATAGCACTCCAAACCCGCGGAAGGACTTATAGAGCGGCTGAAGGCCAACTCCTGCCTGACGGATACGACTTGTCTGAGGACACCACTAGGGGTTCGAACCTCGGCTCAGGCCGTCGTAATATCAATCCCCGTTTGAAATGGACGGGGGATCGATCGGAGTTAATTTATATGCGGTCGAATTGGATTACTCTGCAATCTTCTAAAAGATCTTGGCCTATATAGAGCTGTAGTATATAGGCCAAGATCTTTTAGAAGATTTAGCATACTAGAACTTGTGTCTAAAGGTGCTATAGCAGGTTGCTAGATTAGTCTGGGAGAGAGAGAAAAACACAAGCGGTGACGTTGAATGCAGACGTTATATCTGTAAAGTCCCGGGAAATGTTAAGAATTACCCTATCTGCCACACGATGTGTACATCTACGCACAAAATTTTTATGCAATCAGATAATATTGTAGACAAATTATATATTAAGAAAAGATAAGATAAGATAAGATAAGCATTTATTGTCTATAACTGTTACATCATATATGGAAACGACCAGTTTATCCATTTCGGACGTACAATATGAAATTAAAATATACAATTACATCAAATAAACAAATTACAAAAACAAAAAAAATATATATATATATAAAATAACTATCTACAACACAACTCAGATCAAACAATTTGTCACTCCCCTCCACCAAGGTAATATTCATCTAAGTTGTAAAAGCACTTACACAATAACCATTGTTTTAAGGTTGTTTTAAATTGTCCAGCATCCAGTGACTTGATGCTATCAGGCAAATGATTAAATATTTTTATTCCACTTATGTAGGTACTTTTACTATACATATAACTAGAAGATCTCACGGTACAGATGTCATATTTATATTGCGATCTTAAATTACTCTTTATTTCTGTCCTTTTACAAAAATGATCCTTATTTTCTTTCACAAACAAAGCTATTTCTAATATATAGATACATGTCAAAATTTTAAATTCTTAAATACATTTCTCAATGAGTCATACCTATTGATATTATATATTCTACGAAGACATTTTTTTTGAAGTATGAAAGTAGATTGCACGTTGACTGAATTACCCCAGAATATTATCCCGTAAGTGAGTAAAGGATATATATATCCATAATAAGCATTTTTGGCAACACTTGTTGTAGTTATATTTATCAATACTGATATAGCATAATAGCCACTTGAAATATTCCTATTTATTTTTTCAATATGTGTTTTCCAGTTCATATGAGTATCAATAGTGACACCTAAGAATTTTATATCTGTTACTTTCTCCCATAACATCCCCATAATCCTACACCTGAATCACAATTCCCGGGAACTGCTCGGAGTTTACCTCTCTTTGATACGAGCTGTGACCGCTACGCATTAAATCCATCCAAAAGGTACAAGCTAGTAAGGTATACATAGTACAAGTGTATTTACCGATATGGTTCCCTTGAAACGTGTGTCCATCCGACGCAAACCGTCCATGAAATCGCGCACAATCTTGCGCGAGTGGTCGACGATGCGGAACCCTGTTATATTGACTGCACCGTACTCTGTGACTTCATTCTCCCAATGATCGTCCATAACCTGTTAATAGAAACCTATACTAATACAATAAGGCTAATAAAATTGGTTGTAGAATTGATGATGATGATTTCAATGCAAATCGCTATCGACGACCTCGGTGGTCTAGCGGTCTAGCACACCGCTTTACGACAGATGGTCGCGGGTTCGATTCCTCGCACGGCACAAACATTTGTATTCATGAGTATGATTGTTTGTATCGGTCTGGGTATTTTCTATGTATAATATGTATGTATTTACGAAAAAAAAAAAATTATTTATGTATTTGTATCAGTTGTCTAGTACCCATAACACAAGCTTTAGCTAGCTTAACTTGGGTCTAGATGGCGCTGTGTGAATTGTCCTGAGATTATTATTATATTATTATTATTATTATTATTTTTTAATGCTGTTGGCTGTAGCTGGCCTTTATAGTTTAGCAAAGGATAGGGGTAAATGCAGATGGCACTCGAAACAGTAGAAGAACTTAAAGAACGGCTGAAGGCCAACTCCGGTCTGTGAAACAGTATGTGTTATTGTATAGTCATTCTTATCGCTCAATCAGAATGCATATTGTAAGAAAACAGAGCCAGATAGCCTGTTGCTCTTTTGAACAGATGTTATTCAAAAATTCCAGGCCAAAATTTAGTGTAATAAGAACTACTAAATAAGAACAATTTATAAGTGTAAAATATTAAATATATACTGTAATCTACTACCATGCAAAAAATACACTTTTAGTTGTCAAAATTCGAATATATGTATAAGACATACCTACAGATAATATCATACCATAATTAATCCTATTATTTTCTAAATATAATACCACAATTAATAATTATATATTATATTAATTAATTATAAATTAAACTAAATTTATATAATTCTCTAATGTATTCCAATATTAATAATATTATAAAGAAGCACATATTTTTACAGTGGAACCGAAATGAGTGTTCACTTAACTTTTTTAATTGAGGCATTATATTAGAGTCGTGAACTACATTTTACAAGCAAATCGTAATCGAAAATGAGTCTTATTTACATATATAAAAAACGTACCATATATTTCGGATATATGTAGTATTTGCAGAAGGTATTATATTACCTTTAAATATACGTTACCGATAAAAAATTTACTATTCTGATATCCGATTTTAGTGTAATTTTTGCTGATTATAACAAGGTCACTAGTTTCATTTAATAGTTACAACAGCTTAAAAAGATCTTTACAAGCAGCCAAAGACTCGGGCGAAACTAGTAATAATATAATAGCAACATTCTTTATTTCATCATCATCATCATCGCAGCCCGGAAGACATCCACTGCTAGACATAGGCCTCCCCCAAAGATCTCCATGACAATCGGTTCTGCGCTGCATCCATTGCCTTCCAGCGATATTGAGAGCCAGTCGGTCCACCTTGCTAGACGCCTTCCCACGCTGCGTCTTCCGGTCCGTGGTCGCCACTCGAGGACTTTATTGCCCCATTATTTCAATAAGTCTAATATAAAGTACTTTTGAATAGTCATTTTTTAAATCTACCAATCATTGGTTAAGACGTATTATCACAGAAGAACAAACAAGACACTTGCGTGTTGCTCTTTTAAATAATTATTCATTGTAATGTTTATAGTACATACCAGTCCACTAAGCATATAGTGATAAGTCCGTCGGCCAAGCTCCACTTTCCTGACATGTCCCAACAGGATATTTTTAGCATTTTTTGTGTTGCAATCGAGTACGATCCGCTTGTTTCCCCATCGGTCATGGTGTTCCAACGATAGCAAAAAATCCAAGGCGTCTGATGCGTTATTGATTCGTTTCACCATAGTTATACGGAATGCTGTACGCCCTGGCTGCATGGATTGGTATAGTTGTTGTAGACGTAGCAAACCTGATAAAAAAAAAAGTTTACATTATTGACGACCAAAAATGTTAAGAAGTTTGGTGCACTACATTATTTTCCGCTGATCACGAGTTCGATTCCTCACACGGTACAATTAAATATTAATTAATTCAGTAGTCAGGGATACATCACATAGATTTAATAAATCAAGTTAAATGGAGCATTAAAATTATATATATCTTATATATCATTATCAGTTTTGACTAGCATGCGAGGTAAATTTCTTACTTTGTTACTGTTTAAAAATTGTGCATACTGTAAACAATTATTTGCATAAGACATACCATTTTCTTATAATTTTTTTTAATAACTAAAAAAAATTGAAAATTTTATATATTTAATATGAATTTAATCAAATGGTTAAAAAGCCAGATCAATACATAATTACATATTTATACGGGTATAGTTTTCGCGAAGATCTAAAAGTGTACGTTAATTTTTTACATTTACACTAGTGTGATAGTACAAATAGTAATATTAAAAATAATCTTTTTTACATACAATAAGCAATTGTTACAGACAAATCGAAAAAGACACATAAAAAATGTTTCTACACCATCAACAATATTGACAGCAATAATTTATACTCGTGGAATATAAACCAATAAAATTCGTACGCGTGAGGAAAATATAAATGTAATAATATAACATTGACGTTGCCACAAGTATTTAGGTGTCGTCTATTTTGCAGCACTCCTAAACCAATTCGAGTCCACACGAATTCTATTGAATTAAACGCCCCATATAAAACAAGCGAAACGAAAAAGGGACAAAGCGTGCTCTGAAGGGGTAAAAAAATAAAAAAATAACTCTTTCGCACTACGTGAAAGGGAGATCCAAGAAAGTATATTTGGCGGCGTCGGTGGTCTAGATGTTTAGTACATTGCTTTATTGCCGATGGTCACGGGTTCCATTCTCCGCATTTGTGTCTGTATGGCTGTATTCTGTGTATATTATGTATGTATTTACAAAAGAATATCTAATTATTTATATTAATTATCTAGTACCCATAAAAAAGGCTCTGCTTAGCTTAGAACTATCAGAACTATGAAGAACTTCACACAATGATGAAGTATCCAGAGTTATTTTCAAGAAAATACATTATTAAGTATAATAATCTATTCTACAAAGTAGGCAATCTGTCTGGCCTAATTTTCAGTTAAGTGACTTTTTTATATGGTTTATTATATATGAAAAAGGACATACGGTAAAATAATTACCCAATAATAAGATATAACACATAATACATTATCCTCTAAAATTACAAAGCATAATGCATATAAGATATATATGTAGTTCTGTTTATATAATGGCGACAGTTGCCTGCAAAAGTATGAGTATAAATATATTAATTAAAATAAATTTAAGCATAGAATGTGAATCGTTAAATACATAACGTATACAAAAGAAATTTAATATAAATAAAAAATATTACGCTAATAATAATCTGTAGTCATCAAAATAACAAACTCGTGAACATCGATTGTGAAGCTGTATTCTTAACACCTTGACCACCGAGGCCATGTCTTATTATATCCTATAAATATTATTTATTTTGTATTATTTAAAGACAGGGCAAACTTTTACAATTTTTACACTTCTTTCGCTCATTAATGAGGTTCTTTCCACCGTGTTATCTGAGTGATAATAACTCACTTTGCAAGTTGTAAATTTTATCATAGGCATAACGTTTTCTTCACAAGAAAATGACTTTTATCGTACTAATATTATAAATGTGAAACTTTCTAAGGATATTTGGACATTTGATACTCCATCATTTCTAAATTGCTTGACAGTATTGAATGAAACTTAGTACTAACATAAGCGTGTCTGGGTATACCGCTAGTATAATATCACAATGCACATATCGATCTGAAAGTAACAAATTTCTTCAATATACTGTTTGTTTTCAAGACGGTTCGGATTTTTACATAATTCAATATAAAAATGGTGACCCGTCCCGCATTCGCACGGATGCAGTACTAATTTGAAATTCTCGGCTTGTTCTATAGTATAACATTCATATATTATACATAAAAACCTTTCTCTTGCATTAATTTATCAATCGCTGAAAACTGCATTAAAATCCATTTCAAATCCATTTAAAATTTATAAACGAACAGACAGCGGCGGTCAATAAGAAATATCGCTCTGGGTTTTACTTCTTTCGATATTAAGTGAATATAATTTAGTCTGAACAAGGACTCCTCACTTTAAACCACGTATAATCATTTAGTTACTTTTAAATTTTCGTGTTCAATATACATTATTTAAATTATTCTTTCAGCATATATTTATCCACTGGTGGACGTATGCCTCTTGCATAATTTTCCACTTCAGTCTGTCTGTGGCGTGTCTTGTCCAGGTCGATCCTGCCGTCTTCCTGATATCATCAGACCATCTGGCAGTTGGTCTGCCTATGCTTCTGCTTCCCATTCTAAGTCGCCACATTAAGGATCTGTATGTCCATCTGTTGTCTTTGCTTCGGCATACATGACCAACGCCACTTTAGCTGCGCGATTCTTTGGATGATGTCGGTAACTCCAGTGCGTCTTCTGATCTCAGTATTCCGCAGTCTGTCTCGTAGGGAGCCGAGCACCGAGCCGAGCCGAGCATAGATCGCTGGTAAAGGTATTTACCTCTCTCGATGTTTCGATTAGTTTATTTGCCATAAAATTATTCGTGTTAAGATCCATTTAATAATTTAAATCACGTACAATCATATGTGAAAGGGATTCACACTATCCATCCAAAATGATACATACATAGCAAACATGAAACTTATTGTATAGAAGATATCTTATAACTTCTTGTCAATTTGGAATCCGTTCCATGTGGATCCTGATTTTCCCTTCTCACTTTAAAACTCACACAACCCATCCAATATGATATACTCATAACAATGTTGAATATTATAATATACAAAATTACTCATTATTTCGCTCTCCATTTGGACATTGACTTTCTCTTTTCTGTTTCAATCATATACAATCATACACAGTTTCACACAATTCATCTAATACGCTATAAACTAATCAATCTTGAAACTTATTGTACAGAAAACATCTCATTATTTAGGTATCCATATGTATATTGACTTCTAATATCAAATCATATTCTCTTCTTCTTCTTCCTTTGCACACAATCCATCCAATACGACACACATAGCAATCCCAAAACGTATTATATAACATATAAAATATCAACAAGGAATAAATCTCATGATTGCCTACTTTTCATGCAGCCTGATCACGTCCCATGCGATCCCGGAGACCCCACGTGCGTCTATCGCTGCTCAGAAGAGCCATTTAGAATCCTCAATCACTCAATTTTCAGTCGTAAAATTCAGTGTATCTTCATTCATTGAATGAAATGTAGAAAAGGGTGATAGTTGTTTACAGGGACCTATATAGGGACCGGAAAGGCAATGGTGAGAGGGCATAATTCAAATATCATTTTTTTGGGAGCAATCCTGTCGTGAAATAGTACTCGTAGATAACTAAATTTACATATAAGATGTTATGATTTCAAAAAAGGCTAATATTAAAATATGATTTGTATTAATTTTAATTTCTGACTAACTCTTAGGTCGTTGTAAGGAAGTATTTACAAACCATAAAATCTACCCAGGTGACGGTAGGCTCGTCCCCTACCAATGATCAAAAATGAGATGAAAAAAGCTTATGTATCAATTTTTATTTAGGATTATATTATTATATTTACAAGTGCCAGGAGCATATATATCTCATCTGGAATAATAGTCATGATGATACATTTATTTTATCAATTATTTAACATCACTCATATATTTTACATTAAAAGTTTAATATCGGCCAATGTCGTAGAAGTCAGGAAGTTTTGATCGATGACAATATTTTGATTCCCGCAGACCAGCAGAAGAGTAAAAACGGATATATAATACTATGTATGTATAATAAAAGTTAAGAGATTCTTTTATGAATGAGTCAGGAAAATATTATCGTGTTTTTATATAGACACTTTTAAATAGTAATATTTTTATGATTCTACCACTCGTTCTAAATGCAGACTCTTCATAAGAATAATTAGCAAGAAACTTGCGTGTTGCTCTTTCTAATAATAAATGTTGTTCAGAATAACATTTTTAAGAATTTTCTCTGAATAAAAACTGCTAAAGTGCAAAGTTGACTAATAAATTAATATTTACTTGGGTAACAAAATAAAACAGTCATATATTTTGTTAAGTAAGTAAAAAAAACAATCAGAGATGCGACGGAGTATTTTTTATTATATTCAATTACGCCAACTTATTGTTTCTCGAATTCGAAGACTTGTTAATAACGTGATAAAACAACAAAAAATTTAATTGGAATGTTTTCAAACATTTTAAATTAATTAAAAACTTCTTGACAATTTAAAGGAATGTAAAAACATTTTGTATAGAAAACATTTGTATAGAAAAAGTGTAGTAAACTGATTTAAGTCGTCTCTATATGTTCCTCTATATTACATATTTGAGTCCGGTAACATCTTGTATATTTGATACCTCAGTTTCAAAGGATGACAATGCATCAGCGCTATCACGAACGTCATATGATAATGTGATATCATCATACGCTTCTTCTTTACTCCATTCGTATGGGATCGACGTACTATGTTTTTCTTTTTTATTCATTCCTGTTCATAGTAATTTCGTTATTCACTCTCTTTCTTGCTATATCATCTTTCACGCAGTACATATGATAATGCAATGTCTTAAGTTTAATAAATTTTGGTTTCAGTGGTTTAGCGGTTTAGCACACCGTTTTAACTTCCGATGGTCACGGTTCGATTCCTCGCATGTGTATTCATGAATATTACTGTTTATATCAGTCTGGGTGTTTTCTATGTTACGTATGTATGTATAACAACAAAAAATAAACTATTTATAACAGTTGTCTTGTAGCTATAACACAAGCTCTGTTTACAGTGGGACTATATGGCGCTATGTTGAAAGTTCAGGATCATTT